CCCCCCCCCGTTTCAATCTTACATTTTAGTAGTGATTAGCACCACGCGACTGAAACAATCGTGCGCCCCCGTACTTCAATCAATGCCACCCCAGCCAGCAGGCACGTACGCAGCGTCGATGTGCACAGTCAGACACGTGCCTCGCGGGCCAATTTTTTCGGCGATCTTTGAAAATAAAATGTGAGAATGTTGTGTGATAGCGCCGCTCGATTCAATCACATCGATCAAAACGTTTTGATATCAATCGCCTAGTGTGTCCGGGTCGGGTATTTAGTCGCCCGATTGTACAATTCGTCAGCCAATCAGAGTTGTTCAATGATACTGGCTAGGCGGCGTTACTATGTGGACGTTTACGTGGTGACGGTAGTGCGCGGTAGGTGGCGGTAGGAACTCGCCGTCAAAAATCGCGTGATGTGTCCACTCGACTCGCGCGATAGAATCGGGCGATATTATCGGGCGATAAAGTCACCCGATTAGATCGCATTAAAATCGCCTAGTGTGTCCGGCCCTTTAGGAATATTACACAACTAGAAATTTTTTAGTTGTCTTATCGGGCAACTAGCCAAACGAATAACTTGTTCAACATAGACTTTCACTTGTCCTGAGCCTCATATCATAGCACTTCGCAAACCGCTATGAATAAAAAACAGCTCACAATAACCAGCCTATTTCATAAGATTCCTTCTAACTAGACTTCTAATAAGACTGAATCAGAACAGACTAAATGCCTCTATGATGGTGTCTGTGGAAGGCCCATCAGCTCAGGACTTCCCCTTCCATGAGACACGAGATGCCTGTGCAGCAATTAGGAAAAGGAAACTGGGAATTTAAAGCCTTTATTACGATATTTGATTTTCTACTCAGTAACGACGCTCAATCCGAGCGAAAATAAGCGAATATATAGTTTCACCTTATAGTATATTTATTTGCATTTTTCTGCTTATAACATTTTACTGGTTAATCACACTAGTATACAAATTGAACAATGAAAAATGACTCATCACTCATGTCTCTTGACTCAATCCAAATTATTTTGAAATATAGGTCATAAATTTTGTGCAAAAATGCTCTATAATAAGGCTCAGATTGCACCACTCAACCCTGGACCCCGGCCGCAAGTGACTTCGTGCTTCGCGCTCATGATGTGCGCTAGGTGCACATAATTTCAAATAATATCTAAAGTACTACTCCTCTAAAGTTCCCAGTTTTACATGTTTGAATTTTAGGTTGTGGACCACCCTGATATATGTATATATTTATATATGTACTAATAATAGTAATATACAATATATGTTTGACACGCAAAAAATATTCGGTCTTTGATGATGACGATAATGAAAACATGGTTGAATGCTGTCTCTTGGATTGATGTCCGAATGAAAAAGTACTGGGTATCACTGATTGAATGGGTACTAATTTACTTATAGTTTTACTTATCAAACATACAAGTTAAGTCTATTGAGTGACCCATCTATATATATAAAGTTGTTCAGTCGAATTAGTTCATACTCGCATAACTAGAGAACTCCGCAGCCTAGAGGAGAACTAAAGATATTTTCAGAATCAGCACGTCTTGGAGGTGGTTCTGGCTGAAACAAAAAATTTAAAAAAGTTAAGAAGTTAAAAATTCATAAAAATTCCATTCATCAATAGATGGCGGTGCATACAGTTTAACATCACGTACGTGTGAATCCATGGGTATACCCTTAACGGCGCAGTGGCCTAGTCGCTAGAACATCCGTCTCCTACATCGGGATTCCGCGTTCGAGTCCCAGCTGGGGAACTTATTTTCCCCTTTTTTCCTTTTTTTCTCTTTACCTACCTTTTTAGTATGTATTATTTTTAATTTTTTACTTTTTACTTTATATTTTT